CCAAGCACATTAAGTTTGTGATTGGAGCATCACCATCCTTTGAAACCGTTACTTTTAGGGATTCGAAAGCGACCTCCTGGGATATCTATAGAGATAGCCTAAGGAGGAATTTGGAAACGTTTCCTAAAAGCATCAAAACAATTGAAGGTCTGGAGTTAGCGACGGAGACAGTAACCGTAGGTAACTGTGAAGCCTTCGAGGACAGTTGTCCCGTCAAAACCAAGACCTCAACACGAAAAGTTTCTTGGTGGAATTCTAAGCTGAAAGACCTTAGGGAAAAGACCAGGAAACTATTTAATAGGGCTAAGAAAACCAAAGAGTGGGATATTTATAGTGCAGCCATAACTGAATATAATAAAGAAATTAGGAAAGCCAAGAGAGCATCGTGGAGGAAGCTATGCGAGGAAGTTGAGTCTTTGCCTCGCAGTGCAAGAGTACGTAAAATGGTATCGAAAGCTAAACCTAATCAGATCGGGCTTCTTAAAAAGCCGTATGGTAACTTCACTAATAGTGAAACAGAAACATTAGAGTTACTAGCGTCAACCCATTTCCCAGGGTCATACAAGACTTCAGCCTTGAACTCTTTCAGAGCCCTACGAAGGCCTTCCAATGAGGACTGGCGTAGGGCTGCAAAGATAATAAATTTGGCCAAACCTGATGCAGTGGGCTGTTGACTCCCTTGAACCATTTAAATCAAGCGGGGAGGATGGAATAATTCCCATCCAACTACAGAGGGGTATCGACATCCTTCTTCCTTATCTGGTGAAAATCTTCAGAGCAAGTTTTGCATGGGGATATATTCCAGAACGATGGAAAATTGTCAAGGTTCTATTTATACCTAAGGCTGGTAGAAAGGACTACGCTTTACCAAAGTCACTTAGACCTATAAGCCTATCTTCCTTTCTTCTAAAGACATTGGAAAAGGTTATAGATAGATATATAAGGGATGTAGCTCTAGCTACGAGGCCCATACTTTACAACCAGCATGCTTACCGCAGAGGCAAATCTACGGAAACAGCCCTGATCAGTGTCATTGACAGGGTCGAAAAAGCACTGGAGGATAAAGAAATAGCTCTTTGTGCCTTTCTATATATTGAGGGCGCCTTCGACAGTAGCCCCACATCACTGCTGATTGGGGGCCTAACATCTAAAAATGTTGACCCCACAACCATCAGATGGGTGAAGTCGATGCTCTCAAACAGAAAGGCAAAAATAGCGCTGTTTCAAACTTCGATTGAGGTTGCAACCACAAGAGGCTGCCCACAAGGAGGTGTTTTGTCACCCCTTCTTTGGACTCTTGCGGTTGACCAACTATTGTACAAAATTGCAGACCTACGCATTGAGACATTGGGTTATGCTGATGACCTTGTGATCATTGCAAGAGGCTTTTGCCAAAGTACTTTATCGTCAATAATACAAAGAGCCCTAAACACAACTAATAGAGCAATATTCCAACACGCTGCGGACATATGAAAAATGAAGTGCTTTAATGCAATTTAAATCATTGAAAGGTTTGGTGACACGCATGATAAATCCAAGATTTTTGTAAGCTTTCATGGTTATTAATCTAATGTGTTCTAAAAAGGTTAGTTTGCTATCTAAAGTTACTCCCAAGCCTTTAACGCTGTTTGTTTTTCTTATTGGATGACTGTCAATGTGGTAAGAATACTGTATAGGTTTTATTTTACGGGTAAACGTGATTGATATACATTTTTCAATATTAGCTGTTATGCGATTATTTTTATGGTATAGAGCAAGTCAATTTAAGTCATCTTGGAGGAGCTGACAGTCCCTTTCTGAGTTTATATTCATATATATTTTCTTGTCGTCTGCATATAGAAGAAAATTAGCGTGTTGTAAACATGTTCTTTTATCATACAGGTAGGCTATATACAGGAGAGGACCTAGCAGAGATCCCTGTGGAACACCCAAAGGGACGTTTATGTAATCAGATCTGAAACCACCTATAATTACAGCTTGGCTGCGGTTAAAAATATAAGCTTGGAACCATCTTAACAAATCACCACAAATCCCAAGCGCTTGTAGTTTTTGGAGCAGGATGACATGATCCACACGGTCGAATGCTTTTTCGAAGTCCGTATAGATCACATCAACTTGCAAACCTCCGTCCATCCCACGTAGGACGTCATTCATAAATAGACATAGATTGGTAGTTGTCGAGCGACCTTTAACGAAGCCGTGTTGTTCGGGTGGAATGGAAGGTATCAATAGTGGATACACGTTATTATATACTATTTTCTCTAAAGGTATTTAATATTGAGATTGGTCTATAGTTTTCGATTTTGTTTTTCTGTCCTTTTTTGTGTATAGGTATTATATGTGCTTGCTTCCATAGTATAGGGAGGCTTCCTTCTTTTAAAGATCTATTATATAAAATACATAGAGGTACACAGAGAGCCGCTGCGCAATTAACTATAAATACTGGTGGTATGTTGTCTGAGCCAGGTCCTTTAGTCACGTCCAAACTTTTTAAGGTGTTTGTGCACTAACTCATCTGTTACTTGAATGTCACTTATAGTATTAGTAGATGATGGAAGTTTTGGTGAGATATTAGAGTATGTTAGGGCAGGCTCATTGAACATTTTTTTAAAGAAATCAGCGAACGCCATGCTTATGTCTTGGCCGCACTGCAGATTTTTGTTGTCATATTGCATATATTTAGGATAGCCCGAATTTCTGTGACGTTTATTTTTAATATAAGACCAAACAGCTTTGGGATTTGATTTAATATTGTTTTCAGATTTTTTATGTATGCCTTATGAAGTTCCTTCGCTAGTTTTTTTGCTCTGGTACGCAGAAGTGCAAAAGCATCATAGTCAATTGGATTATGATGAAGCTTCCAAAAAGTGTGAAGTTTATTTTTTTCCTTTATGATGTTGATGAGAGGTATACCAAACAGGATACTGCCGCTTTGGTCTTTGGAAGACACATGGGACGTATTTATTAATAAGGTCATATATTAGACTGTAGAAACACGATACAGCGCCCTCAAGCGACCCTACATTAAGTGTATCCTGCCAGTTTGTCTCCTTTAGATGCTTACAGATTTTCGCATAATCTGCCCATAACTTATTATATAAGTATTTAAAATGTCCTTTATATGACATGCGAGGTGTCACGATGTCTGTGGCGTCAATTGTGAGAGTGGGATGAAAAACATCTTCGTGTAAAAGTGGCGTAATTGATTTAGTAACTTCTACATTAAAGTTGGTAAATATGAGATCAAGAATATTATTGTGAGTATTTACATGTAAGTTATGTTGGTGAAGACCAAGGATATAATCTGATATAATAAGTTTTCTGCAGAGTTCTGCAAATCGGTATTGCCCTTTTTTATTAGTGTATAACCATTAGGTGTCCATTGAACACAAGGAAGATTGAAATTGCCACATATCAAAAACAAATCTTCTGAATTTGACGACATAACGAAAGACAGTAAATCAGTGAAACTTTGTAGGCTTTGAGGCAACATATTATCTGGAAGAAGGTAAATTGCGCAAATATGTAAATTATGTAAAGTACCGAGCTCTCTTGCACCTATCGTAATCCAGAGACATTCAAGGTTTTCATGTGACCAACCGGGCCGAGACTTTGCAGAAAACCGTTCCGCAGTCAGAACCATGATGCCGCCACCACGTCTATTCCCGCCGCGATCCCGGCGAAAGATATTGTACCTACTGTCGGAAAGTTCGGCGTCAAGAATACCGTCGTGCAACCACGATTCTGTAATTATTATTATGTCACTATTACAGTTCAAGATGTTAGTGTAGAGCTCCTGTGTTTTTGTTCTTAGATCCCTTAGATTTTGGTATAGCAGGTTCAAAGTATTTCGTTTAATTTTCATCATCATCATCATCATTACAGCCCTTCACAAGTACACTGCTGAACATAGGCCTCCCCCAAGTAACGCCACAAAGCACGGTCCTGAGCCACCTGCATCCATCGACTTCCTGCATGTCTTACCAGGTCGTCACTCCATCTAGTGGGGGGTCGCCCTACACTACGCCTACCGGTACGAGGCTGCCACTCGAGAAACTTCCTCTTCCCCATCGGTTATCGGTTCTTCGAGCTATTTGGCCGGCCCATTGCCACTTCAGCTTACTAATCCGTTGGGCTATGTCGGTCACTCTGGTTTTACTGCGGATATCCTCATTTCTGAGTCTATCACGCAGAGAAACTCCGAGCATAGCCCTCTCCATAGCTCGCTGAGCGACGTTTAACGTTGTAAAGATTGGGAGTGTGTCGACGAGGGTCGCGTACCTACCTACCGCGTTTAATTTTATTATATGTTAACTTTAAACTTAAGACATTTAAGTAGTATATACTGTTTTGTTTTAAAATAGTAGTAAGTAAGCATATATAAAGTGAGCTTATTAGAGTCGCAACTAGTGAAAAATTGTGTATTTGTTAGTGATGCATATAATAATATATTTTGACATGATTTAATGAACAAAGTGTGTGTATTGTTTATGTGTATGTGTGTGTTTAAACGCAGATAAATTTTCGAAAATAATTCTTTGAGTTTTAATTTTAGTTTTAATTTTAATTCATTACAAGAATACAAAACGCTAAATAACCAAAAGATAATAAATGATAAAAATACAGATAGTTGGCTTAATAAGCTAAGTGAGACTAAACTATTTTTTTCAAATCTGAAGCGGTGGAGATTAACAGCGGAGGTGAACTGTCGTTGCGTCGTACGTAAATTCGACAGTTTTTTGTCCATACGTAACGATAAGCAGATTCTTTGGCTTTTGTTTTTGCTTCAAGAAGAAGTTTTTTGTTACGAGGTGTTAGGTGTTCGTTCACATAGATGACTTTGGTGTCGCCGGTGGACAATATAACTTTTGATGATAAGTCCCTACATTTTCGCACGGCAGACAAAAACGTGTCTTTACTGAGCCGCGATTTGAAACGCGCGATGATAGGGCGCGGTTGCTTGTTGGATGAGCGCTGTGGTTTCACTCTGTGAACGAAGTCTACATCAGTTTCAAAATTTTTTGGCCGGCATTTTCTGCTATTTTTGTAAGAACGTCCATGAGACATTCGTTGCTTTTTTCTGGTACTCCTACAATTTCCACATTTTGCTGACGGGCCCACTGTTCTTGCTTAGCAAAATCGTGCTCCATTATCGAGATCTTTTTTTGCATATCCTTAAGATCGCTACGGAGAGAGGAGTTTTCTGTTTTTAAATACTTAGTGTCCTCTGTTGCTATGGACAGGGACTTCTCTATATCATCATACTTGTCATCGACATATTTTACTGATTTTTCTAATTCACTAATATTATCCCTAATAGCTCGGAATTCTTTACATATTAGATCCTTAATAACACCAGGCACTTCATTCCTAATTATGTCAAGTATTTCTATGCGCATTTTGTTAACAAATTCAGAGTCGAAGGCATTTAGGCAGTCCGGAGAACGCGGACGACGACGTCGAGTCATTACGTAATCATTTCTGCTTTCCGCTCGATCCTCGTCATCCGAGCACTGCATAACCCTTACGGGTGTGTTGCTATTGTTTCCCTTCAGTTGTCTGGCTTTACAACTAGGGCAATTCCAGGATGTATTTTTTTTTGAAGTTAGCAGCCTTTAAACCCACACAGAGATAATGATATAGCTTATTACACGTTGTTTGGGTGCAAATTATACTTTCTGTGGTTTTTACATACTTTTTGCATGCATTACAGTTGTTCATTTTGATTATGAAAAATAAAACGTTATTTGTTTTGAAGGCAAACACTGATTAATTACAGGTAGATAATAAATAATAAAAACTGTAGGCGAAATTAGTTACTCGGCGTGGAGTCACAAGCGTCGTGTATGCCGTGTCGCTTACGCGTTTCACCACACAAATTATACTGACGGTAGTAAACACAGTAGATTTACACTAACACTTATATTTATTTAATTATTACTTCAATATACTATGTTTCCGTTCAAAGATATGCTATGGTAAAGATAGTTAGCACTGCACTTAAACTTGTTAGCCAAAAATATTTGCTCAAGAATCGAATAAAACTTTTAAAAAGAATTTTTGAAACGGAGCTAAACAATAACACTGCGTTTTGTCAACAATGCCGACATTTTAATTTAATACATATTTATTTGTAAATAGCTTGCAATTTGGCATTTTCTAAATAATTTGCATGGGAAATTTTGAAAAGATTGCAACGTCAAAACAAATCTCGTGTTGACATTTATACGTATGAAAAGACATGTTAGTGGCATTTTAGTGGAGCTCCGCCCACTCCCCCGTTCTTTTATGTATGTATTATAGTATTATATGCACACAGAGTTTGTTGCGGAACTGACAAAGGAAAGATAAATAGCCGCTTTGAATCAGTTTATGACTCGTCGTAGTAAACCATAAATCATATTATCCAATAGCGGTACTACCAATTTCGTGGGTGGCTGTAAGGAGTTGCAGTAGTTTTTAGAAAGGAAAAGGTTCTCTTCTGAAATCGCGCAGCAAGGCATCAGATTTTTTTGTTCCTCCCTTTGCCGATGATGCAACTATATTTCTAATGGTGACTCAAATGATTTCGATTATGAAAATGAAATAAACCAAACATTGATCACAGTTACTGATTGGCTGCAGTCAATAAATTTAAAAGTAAACCTGTCAATTTAATATAATTGTGACTGATAAAGCGGTCGAAGCAGTAAGGAACATACATTTTCTAGGAGTCGAAATAGATCTACATACATATAAGCTGGAAGGCACATATAGAAAAATAAATGCAATTAAAAACATAACTTGTAAAAAAAACCAAGTCTCGCAACTCAGTTCTTCTACCGTAAAAAGTTGTGAGATCCATGTAATACCAAGTCGGTTAATTTATTCAGTTCCTACTTAAGGGTCCTTCTGTTTTAAGTTATTACGTAATTAGCTAACCTAACAACATTTTATAGTGACCATATCAATGTTAAAAGTCTTTTATGTTTTAAATATATAGATTGACTTGGCCATCGCATGAAACCACAATGTATCTCACAAGTAATACGTATTATACGAGTATTAAATTAGATTGCTTAATGCGATTGCCAAGTCAATCTATATATTTAAAATATAAAAGACTTTTAAAATCCGATCGTTGACCGAGCTTTGCTCGGTATTTTTCGCTCGGTTTTTTTTAATTCGTGTGTTTTGAAAATTATATTTAGATACAAATTACATACTGATGAAATACGATTAGCGACATAATAGAAAAAACTGAACTGGTTATTTGAATAAAAAATCATGAGTGCAATTAGTTTAATTTAAATTTTCGTGTTTTTAAAAAATACTAAAAAAAGGGCTCGAAAAAATAGATTTTCTCAAAAAAGAAAGGAACTTGAAAAAAAATTTAAAAAAGCCGGTCGGTCGGTCTGGGCTCGAACTCTGGTATTACGATTTTGTGACCGACCAATATACCAAATAAGCCAATTGTAATCATCAATCAACTGTCAAAATTTACCTTCTTATTCTAACGATATTGTAGCAGTTTTTCATTGCCTAAAAACACGGACAAAAAGACATTTTCTAAAAACAAATCCTAGCTAGATCGATTTATTGCCCCCGAAACTCCCTGCACACAAAATTTTATGAAAATCATTGAAGCCGTTTCCGAGATTCCGATTATATATATATATATATATATATATATATATATATATATATATATATATATATATATATATATATATATAAGAATTCCTCGTTTAAAGGTATAGGATTTGTAAAATATAATATGAAATATTTTAATTTGAAATCTGATTCAAATAAAAACATTCCAAAACAATATAAATATCATTTAAATTATTATTAGCAATACGATTATTATAAAAGTACCCATATTACTGCTATACGTGTATAGAACCAGCTATCACCAGCTATTGAACAATTAAATGGATATATGTTCAAAACAAAATTACAGAATTACTTGTTCGAATCAACGAAGCATCGCTTATAAAGGTTATTACAAACAACACATTACGCTTATGAAGAGCTGACTACTCTGGCTGGTTACTCAAGTAGAACCAGTACTCCCATCCTCTTACACTTCTTTCATCCGATTCATCAGACCTTACTGCTCTCACTCCTTCGCATTTTTTCATTGGATGGCCAATTCTGTCTGTTCCTTATCCGCAAGTAGCTGACATCAAATTCGGCCGCCTGGAGCGATATCAAAGAGTGGAGCACTTTGCAATTTTAAGTGCTGGTTTAAGTACCACGTGCTTGGCGATGAATGAAAATATCGTAAGGAAACCTGCATGTCTGAGAAATAAGAACAAATAAGTATATATCTAAGACATGGGAAGTCCGGCGGCAGTGCGGCGAACATTTCCTTGCCCTAAAACCCTCTCAGAAATGAGGCCGGTGCCCAACAGTGAGACATAAATATATGCTGTAACTTTAACTTTGACTTTATCTCGATAGCATGTGGCAAGGGAGCCTTTGGCAGGCAAGTGTGAATTTATTCCGGCCGATAGGGTATACAGTCCCGGTGTCAATGTTCTTGAGATCAGCAGACTGAGGCGCCTTGAGATACTACCATCATCGACTGTGGCTCAAGCTGCCGTTTAAATCTCCCAAAACTTTATAATGTGATGTATCAACATATGTGAAGAAGTCTTGAAACTAATTATTTTAAAGGATAATAGCTTAAGTGAGCTACTATTAATTTTAATAGACATATCAATTATAATCTATACAATTATATCAAAGAAAATAGACAGGTGTCAACTATGTTTATTTTGTCTAAATATTTTAATAAAAATAACTATACATTTTAATTGTAAAATTTTAGTGCACAAAGGAAATTTTTATTGTTGTCAAAGATTTAAATAGTATAACAGTGGTTTATATAATATCTGAAATTAACTACGAGACATAAAAAATTTTCAAGATTGTGCGACATAATATGCCAAATGTAACAAAACAATTCGCAATCAAAGTATTTCTGAAATATTATATATTTGATTGACTGATGAAGAGCTATCGTATCGCAAAGCCATATAAGAGTTTGTCGGGATATTTTTAATATTTGCGCATCGGGATTTTGTTTTTGTTCCCACTACAGTGCCTGTTCAGTATTTGAAAATTTCTAGTCCGCGTATGATAACTTCAAGACACGGTTGCTAAGGCCGCCATCGTTTATTCTACCGACGCCATACGTCTGTGGATCTCTTACACTGCAGCTTCCAATTGCAGAACCGTCCTGTGACGCACCTACGTAACGACGAAACAAGCAGCCTTCATATTTTGACTTTGACTTTTTTATATCTTCAGTGTAATTGTTAAGTTACTTTATTGTGTTTTTTTTTAATTTGTTTTAAGTTATTCTTTTTTTGTTATTGTATTTAACTGTTGTGAATGCAGTCCGTAACCCAATCTAGTGATGACACGGCAAACGCGACACTTATATGTACACAGTGCAACAAGTCATTCAAATCTTTAAAAGGCCTCAACATACACACTACAAAAACACACAGGAAATGTATTAGCCAAAACAGTTCACCTTTAGACATACACCCTTTTATTCCAAATACGCCTACTTTTGCAGCCAACTTTCCAACTCCATTCCACACATATCTTAGCCATTTGAAAAATAGTATACCGACAGTTAAAAGAATCCCTCGAGGAGCTCGAATAACCGTTGCTACACATTTGTCACAATTAATCCAGAAATGTTACATAAGCAATTGTACTCAAGACTGGCAGAACCTATTTTTATTTTCATACAGCACACTACATATACCAAAAACTGATAAACCAAATTTATCCTTGACACAAAAGATTAAAAATAACTGTACTGTCAGCTCCTCACCTTCTCCCGCACCTCTAATCAAACATGATGCCCCTCGTAATCGCAACAAACTAATCGAAAACAAAATCTGTGTCGGAGATCTCAAAGGTGCCGCTCGCCTTTTGTTCTCCAACGAGGTGCTTTCACCAGATACCCCTGACACCCTTCAGGCCTTACGGTCAAAACATCCTCTAGCTCCAGTAAACCCATATTTTCTCGACCGACCAACAGTAGGGCAAGCATGCCTTCAAATTCAAAACAAAGATGTTACGGATGCCATTTTATCTTTTAAACCAGGTTCGGCTGCAGGTTTGGATGGAATCTCACCGCAACATTTGAAAGACTTAACATCGCATTCTGTGGGTGATGCAGGTGAGCAACTTGTAAATTCGATCACTAAATTAATTAACTTTATGTATTCCGGTAATGTCAATCCAGAAATTGTTCCAATTCTTTTCGGCGCGAACCTCATTGCTCTCACCAAAAAGGACGGAGGGGTGAGACCAATTGCTGTTGGATCAACACTACGACGCCTGGCCTCCAAAATTGCTGTTCGACATATTTTACAGAAATTAAATTCGGAATTTGAACCCGTACAGTTAGGCTTCGGTGTAAAAGGAGGGTGTGAGGCAGCCGTCCATGCCCTACGTTCTTTCCTAACATATGAACATCCTGACGTGTTGCTCAAAATTGATGTCAAAAATGCTTTCAATTCGGTAAATAGGGGGACCCTACTGACCGAAATAAATCAACATATACCCGAAATATACAATTATCTTCTTCTCAGTTACGCTGACCCAACAAAATTGTTATATCGGTCTAATGAATTATCCTCGGAAGTAGGTTGTCAACAAGGTGATCCCCTTGGACCAGCAATTTTAAGTTTGGCTATAAATCCCATAATCAAAAGTTTAAATTCTAAATTCAATATTTGGTATCTGGATGACGGAACCTTAGGAGGTGATATGGAAACTGTATTTTCTGACCTTTTTTCAATCAAAAATAAATTTGAAGCCATTGGTTTGGAGCTTAACTTTAGCAAATGCGAACTTTTTATAAATAACTGCAACTTAAATTTAAATGACGTAAAACACAAATTTAATACTTTGGCACCAAATATTAAAATAGTTAACAGTAATTCCCTTTACCTTTTAGGTTCTCCAATTTTTAACGAATCTATGTCTGAATATATTAATAATTCAATTGCTAAATTTCAAAATTCTGCTGACCGTCTCCTTGAAATTAGTCCACATTATGCACTTTGCATTTTAAAATCTTGCCTTTTTGTCCCAAAATTTACGTATGTGCTCCGTTGCTGCTCCTTTTGGAATCACCCAGACCTCTTGAAACAAGTGGACAACTTAATCAAAATTAGTTTAGAATCGATTCTTAATATACACATGAACGAGCAATCTTGGACCCAAGCCTCCCTACCCATCCGTTATGGTGGTTTAGGAATTCGCAAAATTTCCAGTGTCTCTTTACCAGCCTTCCTATCTTCTGTCTATAGTTCAGCAAATCTCATAAGTAAAATTTTAAGGGCATCCCCTTCAAACTTAGAGATTGCTGGCCTGGAAGAAGCTAGAAACGCTTTCTTAATTGCATGCCCTGGTCAAAATTTTCAATTTCCTCTAAATTCACAGAGGAGCTGGGACGACATAAACTGCAAATTGACTTATGACAATCTTTTGAGCTTTAGTACAGGTTCGGCGCGTGCTAGGCTTTTGGCCGTGGGTACGCATGAGGCCGGCTACTGGCTTCACGCGTATCCTTAGTCAAATACAGGAACATTTCTTGAGCCTGACACGCTCCGAATCGCAACCTGTCTACGGCTTGGGGTTCCGGTCTGCGCTCCTCATAAATGTCCGTGTGGCAGTGACGTCGACAAGCTAGGATATCACGGGCTATCATGCCAAAAAAGTGCAGGTCGCTTCTCGAGACATGCAGCTCTTAACGATATCATACGCCGGTCTCTTGCCACCGTCAACGTGCCAAGTCTACTTGAGCCGCGTGGTATTGCAAGAGACGATGGCAAGAGACCGGACGGTATGAGTTTGATTCCATGGAGGATGGGCCGGGTGCTGGTATGGGATGCAACCTGTTCAGACACGCTGGCCCCTTCCCATCTACGTGGAACCAACAACAGAGCTGGTGCGGCTTGTGAAGCGGCAGAAAAGGCTAAAGTTTGCAAGTACAGGGGTCTAGGCTCCGAATATATTTTTGTCCCTTTCGGTGTCGAGACCCTTGGTCCGTGGGGTCCTAGCGCTATAAGCCTTTTTAAGGAAATAGCAAAAAGGTTAATCGACGTCACAGGAGACCGAAGAGCTGGCAGTTACCTCGGACAAAGAATTAGTCTAGCTATTCAACGGGGAAACGCTGCCAGTATCTTCGGAACCTTGCCTAAAGGACCTCTTTTTTAATAATTTAATTTAGTTATTATAATATATATTTTTAAGGTTTTTAGTATTAGTATTAATTGTAAATATTATAATTTAATTTCATTAATTATACTTTATATTAATTTTGTTAATATTAAATTATATCTATATAAAAAAGTATTAAAACATTTTAGCATAATAATTTATATGTTATAACAAAATTAATGATAAATATATTAAATACCAATTAAAAATCTATACTTGACACTGGCAAAAGTACAGCCGTATGAGTCCGTTTCACAGAGTACTTTTTGTCCATTTCCATTAGCGGTGGGTAGTAGCGGCTTCTTTGAGTAACGAAACGAATCTATCTATCGAATATCAATAGCGGCTTTTGAAACACTCTATTTTAATAGAGGGTTTGGAAACACTCTATTTTAATAGCGGCTTCAATAGAGTGTTTCACGACGTGTTCAATTGCAAAACGTTGCGACCGTTGTTACCGTTTCGTATAGAATTAGACATGGTGTTAATGGTTAAATTTATTTATTTGTTAAATCAGTTCGCATGGTTTGATAAAAATATCACTTCGAAGTACACTGGCATTACTTCGAGACATTTTTGATAACAATCACATAAAGTTTTAGTATTATTTTTACACTTAGTTATTTACACTAATTACTGTACAATTATTATTATCAACACTAATATATACAATTATATTTAGTTTTTATTTTACTAAAAATATTATTATTGTTGCACAAAAAGGAAACAAACGCGCCTAAAAAGTAAAAACAAACCGTGTCATTAAACTTAAACAAAAGACTAATGTAAACCGGGCCAAGGCCACTTAAATTATGGTATTTGAACTATTTTTTGTTAAAAACATGTACACTTACTTTCTCATTTCTAATATCGCATCTATACGAAGGAAATAGAGTCATAGGTCAAATGCAAAAGCACACGCGCTCACTCGACTTTCGACAACCGGTGGTACTTCTACCACAGCGTAAAAAGTCGGTTTTTTTACTCATGTGCTTCTACTTCAACAGCCGAAGCCGTCGCCGACGCGTCGCGAAAATAGCCGAATAAACGTTTTGTTACTGATCGCTCGTTCGTGATTCGTGAAACGTGAATCGTGTTACTGAGTAAAACGTCTACTGTAATAGATAGTTTCGTTGCACTGCAATAACCCGCTACTCGCTATTGTGTGAATAGATAGTTTCAGTAACTAGTTACGTTTCGTAACGACCACTCCTAATTTCCATCAATTTCTAACAAAGAAAAAAATAGTCTGATTCTGATATCCATAGATAAATAAATATGTAGCAAGCTACTGATATCTTCTCAGGATTATTTACGAATGTACAATCTATTTTAATATTAATTCGTACAATGTTTGTAATACTTGTTTAATTAGATGGTTTTTAAAATCTCGTAAATGGAAATGGAAAGCGAGAATACGTCATATTGTCGATTGTGCGCAGAACTAAAATCCAATGCAATTATGACTAACGTTCAAAGCGACGAAGCAAAATCGTGCAAAATAATTGAAAAATTATCTCGTTTGAATATTATTTATGCAGATTTCACTAATCCTGATAATGACCTACCAAAAACGATATGCTTTTCATGTATAGAAAATCTTAACAAAGCCTTTGAATTTGTAGTTGGAGTAGACAGAGCCCAGAGTGTTTTGACTAACATAGTTAATAATGAAATAAAGACGGAACATTGTTCTTCAGAAGACTATCAACAAAATGATATCGTAGATAGCAAATCAGACAGCAGCATAGATATAAAAGAAGAACTTGTTTCTCAATCCTATGATTGTTCATATCAATCAGTGGACTCTGAAAACTGCAAGAATGTTTGTACGAGCAATGTCAACAATAATGAACTAAGTTCGGACATTCTTCCTTTGAAATATATCAAATCAACTTGGAGTGATTATCTTTGGACTTGTGCATATTGTGAAACACAGTTTGCTACTGTAGAAGAATTAAAAGTTCATTCCATGCAATATCATCAGTGCTGTAATGCATTTAGGTGCAAGGACTGTAAGATAAGAACACTTCACTTGAATAAGTTTGTAATGCATATTAAATGGCACAGAAAATATCTGAAGTTATTATGCTATATATGCAACAAAGAATTTATGTTTCAGCACCAGTTACATTCTCACATTAAGAAAGTACATGGGCCAAAAACAGAACATTTCTGCTTAGGTTGTAATGCTGAATTCCAACATTTAGATGACCTAAATAAACACACCCACACATTTTACAAGGATAGACGTGTCAGGAACATACCAGACTCCCTTAAATCCGTTAACAGTTTGACTTGTATTATTTGCAAAAAGACATTCAAGTCAATAGGAACATTAAATACACACTTACTAATACACACAGAGAGAAAGCGAGAAAACACTTGTGAAAAATGCGGAAAGTGTTTTTATAGCAAGCAAGCTCTAGCTAGCCATATGCTCATACATGACAATGTGAGACCATACCAATGTGAAATATGTAAGTGGAGTTTTAAAACTTCCAAACAGCTTAAATCCCATGTTGGCAGTCACAATGCTGAAAGGCCTCACACATGTGATCAGTGTGGGCGTAGCTTCCGTTTACTAAGACAACTTAACTCACATAAAATAATACACACAGACATTCTACCCTATGTTTGCAGTTATTGTAATAAAAAATTTCGCTTTAAGTCTATATTAAATCAACATATACGTCAACACACTGGAGTAAAACCATATTCCTGTGATAAATGCAGAAGAGATTTTGCAAATTGGCCCAATTATAACAAACACATGAAAAGGCGACATGGATTAGATATGGCAAAAAAGAAACACACCCCCGAAGGAGTCTTTCCAATCAATCCATCTACAGGTGAAATTATTAAACATTTAGAAACAAATGAAATGCTTGAATGGAAAAATAAGATTTTACAAAATAAAGGCAAAGGGAGACCAATTTCTCTTTGTTCAGTTAATACAGACACCACTGCTTCAGTTAACATAGAAAAAAATGATATAAAAAGGGAGTAATATTGAATATTTTGCTATCATTGCAGACTAGCAAAGAAAGATCGACAGAACACCACATACATTTCAAACCATACTCAACTTAAGAACACATACAAGCACATTATATCTAAAATAATTTGCAACCAATAGTTGTATGCATCCGACACAAAATTTTTACAATCTGCTGTATAAAAAAAGAAATACGGTTTTGGTGTCACTTTCAATATGCTACTCATGTTTTGCCTATTTTTCTTTATTAATCTGTGGCAAATTATCCACAAATTTTACTGTACCGTACACAAAATTTAAATAAATTATGAACACAAATAAATATGAATCTGATCGAGTGTGTTTTCTTTATAGGATGCCAATGTAAAAAGTTAAGTGAAACAAAAATCTAAGTCCGATTCATCATAGGGGTGATGAATTCAGTAAAATGAAAAAGTAATACTATGAGAAATGTCAGGAAAATCTTATCACTTCCGATAAATGGCAGTATAATCATATCTATTATCAGACATAAAATATTTAGATCGGCGACAGAGAGCAGAGTAAAATGTAATGCAGTCATCAATCCGTACAATGGCAAAAGCCCTTGTCCTGCAGTTGATTTAGTCAGCTGATCCAGAAGTAATCTGGTACATTTTTCGTTACCTACACTAGAATTTTCCCCTGTATTGTGGAGTCTGTTTACAAACATTAATTACACAAGGACAAAAATCCAGACCTGGGACAAGTTTTTTTTATGGCCACTTACAAGTACAAACACTTGTTTCGTTTGAGATTCGCCCTCAGCGCAGCAACTCAAAGCCATCACTATTATACGGAACCATTAATTGCCGATAGTACGGCGACTTGTATTGCAATTGCCAATCCCATATTCTATAAAAGATCCCTGTACCAAGTGTGGCAAATCCGCCTTACAACAGGATACATATTCATTATAGTACCATTTCACTAGCTGATGAAGAATTGGTTAACTGCAAATATATTTTTTATAGGATAAGCGTGATTACAAGCACACAGTCTACCTCATAGAAAGTGGATGCTGTAGCTCATAGACATCTACTTCTACCGTCGATTAACAATCAAAATCGAGGAAGAGGAATGAAACATTTCCAGTAAAAAGTCTAGTTCTCTACACTCACCATAGAAAACAATACTGCTGTTTTACACTGGTATTTTGTTAGGATGTGGTCCTTCCATGATCGAGCCAAGCCATTCGTACCACAACCATAATATAGATGTAGCATGACTCCACCAATTGATAAAGGTGGAATGGTTTTTCTACTTGTATAATTTTTAACTATGAACAACAGTAAGTTATACAGTTGAACAAATAACACTTTTTAATTTTTGACTGTCTTTATTTAGATATAAATTACAAATCTTGTAATATAATATACAGTACAGCAAACAATACATATATATGTATAGTGCAGTAGTTATCGCCTGTCGGTTTTGCCAATGCCACGTTTTCCGGCGAACAGGTGCTTGGGTTTCTTTGTGCCGATGAAACGATCGGCTTCTCCCTTCAGACCCATCTTCTTCGTCTTCTTCGCGATAGCCACATGCGCGAGGTTCTTCGCCTTCTTTTGCATCTGTTGCAAAAAATATATATTAATAGAACTTGCAAATTTGTTGAAAAATCTTAGAACTGCAATGGATGTAAATTTAACCTTAAAATTTGATCTTTGAATTGATTAATAATGTCCTCCAGACCAAATTTGATCACGGCGGCCGGTCTCAATGGAGACTAGCCATCTGCGCAGGACGGGATTATAATGCCCGAATGTATATATTACAGTGCGCAATCACAGGTGCTCTCTCTATTCCCTTACTCGCATAATATTATGAACATACGGTAATTCGACGCGATCGGAGAGATCAAGTGCAGGACCAACTACACGTGCTTTCCGAGGCACGGAATTTTTTGTGAGAAAAACTCAATAAGTGATTCAACTCAAGATTGTTTACGAACACTAGACCAAAGAGGCAGAGAATCGAGTAATCGATAATTAATCTTCTGATATTTTTGATAAGAATTGATTAGGTTTAAAGATTGATTTTTTAAAGAGAACTGACATTTTTAGTTTGCAGATAAAATTGTACTTGATGTGGGTAATGCACGATACACATAACGTAGCGTAACGCGCCACCATACATCAAGCATTCTCTATAGGCCTCGTTTTGACTAAAATAGAGCATTAAGCTCCATCTAGCTTCGATCGGGCCATAAAATTTGGTTCAAAGTGCGGATGTTTTATTATTCCCATAAATATAATGAAGTTATTAGAATATTATCGTCATCGTCATTAGAGCCCTTTACAAGTCCACTGCTGAACGTAGGCCTCCTCCAAGGAATAGTTGAGCCACCTGCATCTATAAATTTCCTGCAATTCTTACCAGGCCGTCACTCCATCTAGTGCGGGGACGCCCAACACTTCGCCTGCCGGTATGAGGCCGCCACTCGAGAACCTTTTTTCCCAATCGGTTGTCGATTCTTCGAGCTATATGGCCAGCCCATTACCACTTCAGCTAACTAATCCTTTGGGCTATGTCGGTTACTCTGGTTCTACTGTGGATATCCTCGTTTTTAAGTCTATCACGAAGAGAAACCCCGAGCATAACCCTATCCATAGCTCGCTGAGCGACTTTGAGCTTCCACATATGGCCAGCAATGATGGATCACGTCTCAGATGATCCATAGGTCAGCACTAGCAACACGCACTCGTTGTACAATCTAGTTTTGAGGTATGCTTTTCGAGAAGGTGTGTCGTAATCTCCCGAACGCTGCCCAGCCAAGTTGAATCGGTCGATTCACCTCTCAATAGAAGTTGGACTTACATAGTCTGACTATTTGTCCCAGGTAAACATACTGGTCAACAACTTTGAGCTTAGAGTTCCCAACTACCGGCATAGGTGTGACGTGGTGTTCGTCTTAAGATCTATCCGTTGGGAGACACTATTGAGGTCATTGAGCATAGTGCTTAGGTCCTCCACAAATTCTGCCACAAGGACTATATCGTCGGCAAATCGAAGGTGAATACTCGCCATTGACGTTAATACCGTATCCTTTCCAGTCCAGTAATTTGAAAACGTCTTCCAATGCCGCGGTGAAGTTTCGGAGATAATTACGTCACCCTGATCTGAATGACCGTTGAATAGGTTTTGTACTCTGGTTCTGTATTTAGATAGCCATTATAGAACTACTGCACAAACACTTCAGATCTTCTCTGGCATAGACTTTAGAGCCCTGGTTCCGCTAGTACACTTCTTCAATCCGAGGTGTATTGAAGTTGCTAAGTCCCGCCGCATGCATTTGGAGATCTGCTTGTTCAGTTGTCTGTATGCTGTCAAATCTGCTGAAGACTACAGCTTCATCTCCTGTCTAACACCCTTGAGATTAAGAGTGTGATCGGAACGTTTTAGTGTTAGTCTTACAGAACTTAGTTCCAACCGCATGGACAGTTTCCACGAGCTTGTCATTCATATCGTCCACTGTATCTGCCATACAGTGGACATTCTTCTAGGCACTGAAAACGGTTTCGTGATTCATGCTGAAAGTTTACGGGACCCTGGATTAGCGCACGAGGGGGACGGAGCGTAAACTTAATTAGACAGGCCCTCTCCAACTTAATGTTTAGGTTCAGTGTGTCTCTAACCATTCGGTGATCGCTGCCAGTTTTCATCCTTGCGTCACTGAGATATCACTGAACAGTTGTCGTCTGGTCGTCATAATGAAGTCAATCTCATTTTTTGTCGAACTGAAACTCGACCAGGTCCATTTATGGAAGAAGGAGTTCATCATAAAGAGTCCCTCTTTTTCCATAAAGTCGGCCAGCTGCTGACTCTTTGGGTTTCGCTGTCGTATTCTAAGTTTCCCTACTTTCGGCTTACTGTCTTGTGCCCAGTTTTACGTTGAAGTCTCCCATTAACACCGTATAGTCGGTTTTGGAGGAATGCATGGCTCTAGAGATATCTTCATACATTTCCTCCATCTCCTCATCGGAATTTGCCGAGTTTGGTGCGTAAATCTGTATGACCTTCAGCGAATACCATTTGGTGATTTTGAGTATAAGGTAGGCAGCAACCCCCGTCGATACACTCGCAATCTTTATAATGTTAACAAGAGACTTGTGGACGATAAATGCGACACCGCTTTGGGACAGATGATCGTCCTTCTGGTGGATAGAGCAAGTTGCCGGATTCGAGGATTACTATGTCTTTCTCCTCTCTTCGGACCTCAGATAATCGTATATCCCAGCGCAACTTGTCTCTCAATTTTTCCAGCTCTAGATTTCGTCAGTCCACACAGGGTGCGTGCATTATATGTTGCTAGGTCGAGCCGTGTTGGGTGGCAACCGAACCTCCACCGGAAATTCTTAGCACCCCCTGCCCTGCTGATATCATGGTCGCCAAGAATATATCAATCTATGTACGGGTTACCGCACATATTTTATGTAACTTCCGTACTTTTGCCTATACATCAATTTATAATTCTTTACAATAAATTCAGTGTTAGATCGACTTTCATTGGGTTTGTTTCGTACACTAACTTTCCCTTGCATCCCATCTGCACTCATTCATCTTATATATTGTATACACCTTACAGTGTTTTTGGTCCTTCGAAAAGACAAGATCACATCTGTGGATTTCCATCGACATTTGGAAAATACAGGTACAGAGGTTCCTACGCTTACGTCACTTTATTTTGTTTGTTGATTTTGTGCGACTGCGAATCGGTTGACTGGCTTCCCAGAAGCGGGTCCCACCAGTTTTATTAAGAAGGCGCAAAAATGGTCGTACTAGGTTCGCGAAGATATAGAGTGGCCTGGACCGCTGGACAAACATCTGCTACAGCTGCTATCAATGTGGACAATTGTCGTCGACATTCGACACAGTGAACAGTGCTAAGACTCGGTGAGCAGTGAACTTAGAGTGTACCTTTTTTCGTCCTCGGAGTGTCACACAGTGAACAAGCATAATGGAGAATCTACTTCAGCGCCAACAGGAGATTG